TTTTCAATAACCTCATATGCATGCGAAAGCTGGACAGTGAATAAGGAAGATCCTAGAAGAATTGATGCCTTTGATTTATGGTGTTGGAGGAGGATACTAAAAGTGCCATGGGCTGCCAAAAGAACCAGTAGATCTGTTTTGGAAGAAGTGTAGCCAGAGTGCTCCTTAGAGGCTAAGACGGCCAAACATCGTCTCTCATACTTTGGACATATTGTCAGGAGGGAACAGTCACTGGAGAAGGATATCATGTTTGGAAAGAGGGAGGGTCAGAGAAAAAAAGGAAGACCCTCAATGAGATATATTGGCCAGGTGGCAGCATTGATGGACTCTAGTGTGGCAACAGTAGTGAGGTTAGCCCAGGATCGGACATTGTTTCATATTCTTGTCCATAGTGTCACTATGAGTTGGTACCGACTTGATGACACCTAACAACAACAACTGTGTGATAGGCATTGTACTAGGCTCTGAGAAGAGGAGTCCACGTACTTAAGAAGTTCATAGTTGAACCGAGAAAATGTTTCTCCCTTTCCTCATTCTTCGTATTTTGTGCAACGACCCATTTCCTCCAAGAGGTGGGTAGAGCTCTATCTGAATAAGGGCCTTTCTATTCATCTACCACAAGGCCCAATGCACACCATTATTGCTACATGTTGTTGTTGTGTACCAATGAGTTGTGTGCCAATAAAGACCCTGTTTAGAGTTTCTGAGGGTGGCTGGTGGATTTGTTCTGCCAACTTTGTGTTTACCAGTCCGGTGCTTATCCTACAGCAACACCCCCAGGGATCTTATTGCTATATATTGTTGTTAAGTACTGTGGAGTCTGTTCCAACTCACAGTGACCCTGTACAGGATTTCCGAGGCTGTAAATCTTTATGGGAAGAGAAAGCCTCATCTTTCTCCCATGGAAGTTTTGAACTGCCAATCTTGAGGTTAGCAGCCCGATTCGTAACCACTACGCTACCAGAGCTCTATACTATATTTAAATTACATATATCTGTCTTAATATAGTGGGAGCTCTTATCATACTTGGAACTATGTCTTATTCAACTTTGTGTACCCAGTGCCTAGAACAGGGCATTATCACACATAGGTACTTAATAAATAATTGTTGAACTCAGCTACAAACAAATAAGCAGAGACAATGTGAAAAGGCATTAAAAATGATGGCAATTTGAGATGAAACTAGAGAGCTAAAGACTAGGGGGAAAGTCTTCAACTGGTAATGGTAATTGAAAAGTAAAGAGAATGATTCAGCTGAATGTAACAAGTTTCAATGAAACAGGGTTGCTAGAAATGGCAGCAAAATGCTAGACATCAGTAGCACATAGAAGTGGTCTAGAAAGTGTGACTGGTTATTGATAGGGATAAGATGAGCAACCTACACCCCGCCCTTGCACCCCCCTCACCCTCTCCCTTCCCCACCCCCCAGGCTGCAAGGAGAGGTTTAAATTTAAAACAAAGAAGTGGAGCGAGCCCTTATCGATGATAATATACAATATAATAAGGAGCTTTGGTAGTGTTGTTGTTGTTGGAAGTGCCGTCGAGTCATTGCAACCCATAGCGAGGAGTATAGGGTTTCCAAGGAGCTGCTGCTGAGCTTGAACCACCGACCTTGCAGTTCAAACAGCTCTGCTGTCTGGCTTATTAACCCACAGCACCACACCAGGACTCCTCTTATAGTCTGGTAGTGTAGTAGTTACAAATTGGGCTGTGAACCTTAAGGTTAGCAATTCAAAACTATCAGCTGTTTCGAGGGAGAAAGATGAGGCTTTCTGCTCCCATAAATATTTACAGCTTCAGAAGCTCTATACAGGCTTACCAAGAGTCAGAACTGACTCCACAGCACATCACCGCAACCATACAATATAATATAAAAAAAGAAATTTCTCATTGTAATTTAACTCCAGGGAGTTCAGAGGAAATTTTAGCAGGGAGGTGAATGGTGAGAGTAGCGTTAGTGGAATAGCACAGATAAGTATGGTAAGAGGATGATGTGTAAAGAAGTTTACATCCTGCCAATAACCAAGCAAAGTGGGATGTGAGCCCTCATATGTTATCAAAGAGCCAATTTCAATCAATCCATTGATGGAGAAATGGTGAGGGGAGGCAAGGAAAGAGAAAGGAAAGGAAAGAGATGAAGTTAGGTTCTTTCAGGATTCAATTGCAACTCAGGTAAGTGTCATCTTTTCAGTAACCCTGGTAGTGCAGTGGACTACAGGCTGGACTGCTAACCTTAAGGTCAGTAGTTTAAATCTACCAGTCACTCCACAGGAGAACGATGAGGCTTTCTGCTCCTGTAAAGATTTACAGCCTTAGAAACACTATATAGGATCGCTATGAGTTGAAACCAACTCTATGGCAGTTAACAATAACAGCTCTCCAGTAGAGAGTCCTTGGGTGGCACAAATGTTTAATGCTGGACTACTAGCCAAAAGGTTGGTGGTTTAAACTTACCTAGAGGCACTTCAAATGTAAGTTCTGACTTATGGTACTATAGTGAATAATTGCTATCAGGACTGACTGTGAGGGTTGGAAATATAAAGGTGGATGTTTTGTAACAAAAGGAGGGGAGTGGTTGATTTTACAGTCCAGGAGTGGAGGTTCCTGGGACCACCAAGGGAGAAGAGCTGAGTGTAGGACCCTATGCAGAGAAGCAGTGACACCAGAGATGGAGGCAGAAACAATGACACAAACAGATGGAGTGGCTGGAGATTCTGGACTCAGGAAGGGAGAGGGGCTGTGTGCTGACGGCCAGGGGGCAGGCTTGCGGGGTGTACCCTGGTTTGATGATGCATGGAGGGGATTGTAATCATTGCATTGAAACAAAATACGATAGGGATGAATGTAACGTTAATGTTCTCCCATGTAAACTATCACATAATTCACAATAAAAACTTAAACAACAACAACAAAAAAGTAAGTTCAAGTAATCTGCTTCTGAAAGGTCTTGGAAATCCTATGAAGTGCAGTCAAGAATCCACTCTAGTTAAAAAGCTGTATTCCTGGTGTAATGTGCAGGATAATGCACTAGACCGCAAGGTTTGAACTGCAAAGTTGGAGGTTCGAACCTACCAGCCACTCCTTGGAAACTTTATACAGGGTCACTATGAGTCAAAGTGACTTGATGACACATAACAATTCCTTACTAGAGGATCCCTGGTGACACTCTAGGATAAGTACTGGACTGCTCACTGCAAGGACATCAGTCCAAACCCTCCAGCTGCTAAAAGGAAGATAGACGAGGTTTTCTGCTCCTGTAAAGATTAACACCCTTGGAAACACTTTGCAGGGTCACTATGAGTCAAAATTAATTCAATGGCAGAATTTTGGGTTTTTAGTGTAGCTCCTTACCATACTAACGTGTGCCCCATAACACATAGTTGATTAAACATTGTGTCAACTGGAAGAAAATTGACAATGGTTTTCTTTCAAAACACCAGCTACTATTCAGAGAAAATTCTCATCAACAAATCCTGTTCATTTGTTTTATGTAAACTGCTATTACCTTCCAGTGGAAAATTATATGGTAATTTTTTTTGTTCTGTTTTATTCAGGGTTCTAATCGCCTAAATCGAATGAATCAAGCAGCCAAACATTTCCTGCTGCAGATCATTGAAAGTGGATCCTGGGTTGGAATCGTTCATTTTGACAGCGCTGCCTACGTCAAAAGCAACCTAATCCAAATAACAAGCAGCAATGAGAGAAATCAGCTCTTGAATAGTTTGCCTACAACAGCTGAAGGAGGAACTTCAATCTGCTCTGGGATCCAGTCAGCATTCCAGGTGAAAATCACTCTACAAATATAGATGAACATGGTTGTTTTTTAGGATGTTTCAATGTTAAGTCTGGCATAAATTTACTGCCTAATTTTAACATAATTAATTCTAAAAGGCATATAGGAAAAAAAGCCCAATTAATGGTTAAAAGATTAGCAAATCAATGATTAAACTGAAAGATAAATATAATCCATGCCAACACCAAAGAGTTGCTGTCCAGACGATTCCAATGTGTCAGAGTAACTATTCTCCATAGGGTTTTTAATGGCTGTTTTTCAGAAGTATCTTACCTGACTTTTGGTTAGTAGCCAAGAACACTAGCCTTTCCACCATTAAAGGACTCCAAATGACTTTAAAATACCATTAAATTACAAATTCAATAAGGGAACAGAATTTATCTGTGTGCTTACAAAGTACATGTTCAATAAATATTGGTTAAATAAATTAATGTACTGGGCAAACAAAAAAAAGCATCTTCAAGTGTAATGTTGTTGTTGTTGTTAGGTGCCATAGAGTTGTTACCTACTCATAGCTACCCTATGTAAAACACAACGAAACACTGCCCGGTCCTGGGCCAATCTCACAATCATTGCTATGACTGAGTTCCTTGATGCTGCCACTTTACCAGTGGGGGTCTTCTTCTTTTTCTCTGACCCTCCACCCTTCCAAAAATGATATCCTTCTCCAGCAACTGGTCCCTCCTGACAACCTGTCCAAAGTATGAGAGACGAAGTTTGGTCATCCTGGCCTCCAAGGAGCACTCTGGTTGTACTTCATCCAACAAAGATCTGTTAGTTCTTCTGGAAGCCCATGGCACTTTCAATATTCTCCTCTAACACCATAACTCAAAAGCATCAATTCTTCTACAATCTTCCTTATTCATTGTCCAGCTTTCGCATGCATATGAGGTTATTTAAATTACCATGGCTTGGGTCAGGTGCACCTTAGTCTTCAAGCTGATATCTTTGCTCTTCAACATTTTTAAAAGGTCTTGTGCAGCAGATTTGACTAATGCAATATGTCATCTGATCTGATCTCGACTGCTGCTTCTGTGAGTGTTGAT